ACCTAAGGCTCACAAAACATAGTGGGACAAGGGGTAGAGAGAATACCAATGCATCTCTTAACTCTCATCAACGAAGTTCCCACATGCAACAGAGGGCAATCAACACAAAAGGTCACAAATGGCCAAAGCATAGAGAATAAGAGTCTGCAGAGTGTGGGTCTTTGGACAGGACTCCTGTACTAAACTTCACCCACCCAGGGACCACTGCAGAAGAGGGTTGGAAAGATTGTAAGAGCCAATGGAGGAGGTGTATGACCATATGGAAAGAGTCTTACAAGGTCCTGAGACCATATTCATATAAATCTACAACAATAGTGTCATTATGCACAAGACCCATGCAAACTCAAGCAGACAAAAACCCAGCATAGAACTCGGGAAATGGGGAGCAGGCCCCAATCTTAGCTGAAGGACTATTGAGCAGCTGATTACTGCTGGGTGAGGAAAAGCTGATCTTCTTTAAGGGACTGACATTAGGTAGGGTGACTGGACCCCAGTGGATGAACTTGCACTGAGGGATGTTTGGATATGCTAACTTGACTTGATACACCTTAATATAAATGAAAGACTGCATAAAATCCAGTGAGGAGGGGCTATGTGAGGGTATGAATGGGGGAGGGGTTTAATCATAAAGATGATTAAATGTTGTATATGAAGTACACAAAAATTCAATAAAAAATACACAAAAAAGCAACAATTCCCAGGTATAATGGCTCACACTGTCCACAATGAATGGCACAAAGGCAAGAGGCGGAGCTCTACTGTGTCACTCACAGCAGCCTGAGTTGTTCCTTTAATCTTTGAGGGACTTCAACTCAGGCCAAACCAAGATTTGTGGATTTCAGGCAAAAAAGAATTTCAGGACTAGCCAGTATGAAGCAGAGTAGCGGGTTAATAAAGACATTTTAATATAGATTTGGCACATAAGCATTAAGAAACAGAGAGACAAGAAAGTCATACCCCAGAGCCTGGGTGTGGGTTTCTCAAGAAGTCATACTTCATTACCTTTCCAGTGGTCACAGATACCATTTTAGTAGGCTTTGAAGTTATTATCCTCAAAGGGTTGCTGAACAATCTAAATGAGATCACAGGGATGGAAGACAGTATCTTTTCTGCAAAACTAATACTGCAAAATTTTGTTTGAGATTCCCAGAAAATATCTACAAAAAGGAATGAGGCCTTACCCAAGGCATTAAGAACAGGTCATTACTATTTTAAAATTCAATATCCATATATAAAGGAATATTATCACTATGTTGGTAACCTTCACTGAAAATGTTAACTGTGTTGGAATTCTTGCTTTTTGGATGACAAAAGCTTCAATCACACTCTAGGATGTAAGGCTCCTTTCCCTCCCCACATCCCCATAATTTTCCCTCTATTTCAATCTTGCTTCAATATCTATACCATCACTCAGGAAGATGAGACAGAAGAATCTCCAGTTCAAGGCCAGCCTGACCAGCATAGTAAGCCCATATATAAATAAAGAGAGAAGGAAGAAAGGGAGGGAGGAAGGGGGGAGGTGAAGACGGAGGGAAGGAAGAAAACACAGAGAAGAAAACAATACAAGAGACTATTTGAAATAAGGAAATTTTGTTTTCCATCCCAATATTGACTAGTTGTATCTCACTATGGAAATGAATATGCATGAAGCTATCAGAAAAAAAGTGATGAGGAGATATGGGAGGAGTTGGAGGGGAGGGAGTGGGCGTGGATTTGATCAAAATACCTTATATGCATGTATGAAACTCTCAATAAATAGTTTATTTTAAAAAAGACTAATTAATTATTTTTTTAAAAAGAAATGAATATGCAACACAGGGAGTCTGTGGAAGTGACAGCTTCCCGAGGGTGTGAATCTTCAAGACATCAAATGCTGTTTTTGAGGAAAGTCACAGAACCTTCTCCCCTGGATATTTTAGCTAAGATATTCCCTTTTATCTGGAATTGAATATTCATTGATCTGAATAGCTGAAAAGTGTCAGATATTGTGTGATTTGTAATGCCCGCTAACTTTAGCATTACTTCTTTTAGTAATTGAACAGGAAAAAACAGTTTACTCTAGGTCACCAGCACATATGAGGAGTCATTAATTAATTGTATATATCATCACAGGGAAAAGGCTCAATTTATTTAGCAGCAATTTTCAAATGCCTTCCAAAATATAATATTGAGAAATTATGCCCCCAGGTATTACCCAACTGATTTGAAACTGTGTCTATAGAAAAAATCTGCACACAAATTTTAGAGACGTTTTATTCACAGCCATCAAAAAAGGGAAAAAACAAATATTCTTTAATACATGAAATTAAAAAATAAAACATAGTGAAACATCTATTCATAATAATACTATCCAGGTATTTTTTAGAAAAATACAGAAATGGGTGTTGCGTGACACTACTTCTGGGGAGACATGGACAAAAGTTGATTCACCCCAGATAAGGAACCAATGACAGACCAATTAAGGATACCACCAAAGTACAACTTGGGGAACCAATGAGTTTTATTTGGAGTTACTTACAGGAGTATGGGTGAGGGTTAAAGGAGCAAAACAATAGCTCAAAGATAGTTCTATCACCTAAGCCCACCCCAGGGTGGGTGGCAGCTCACGTGTATTACTTTTCTGTTGCTGTGAAAAAAACACTGACCAAAACAACTTTTAGAAGGAAGAGTTTATTTAGTTTATGGTACCAAAGGGGCATGAGTCCATCATGGCAGGAAGGCATCGTGGAAGAGGTGATTGGAGGTGGAGCAGAAGCTAAACTCTCACATCTTCAAGCAGGCACACAAAGCAAGAAGCGGAATCAAGATCTGGCACGGCTTAAGAACTCTCTAAGCCCACCTCCAGTGCCATGCTTCCTCCAGCATAGCCACACTTTCTAAGACCTCCTTAAACAGCACTACCAACTGGGGACAAAATGTCCACATACTTGGAGCCTATGGAGGACATTCTTATTCAAACCACCACATCACGAATTGAAAATCTGGAGCACAACTTGCAGGCAGTACAACAGGTTGGAGCATCTTTTCTAGGCAGCTCATGGTCTGAGTCTCTTCCATGCAGCTCAGCTAGTCAGCCAGTTTCTTCCAGTTGGCTTAACCAGTCTGTGCCTCTTCTAAGGTAGCTCACGTACCTGGGAGTGTCTCTCAGCAGTTCTTATGGCTCACACATGCTTGGAGAGGGAGAGGTCTAGAGAATCTGGTCAGTTTTAGGGACTTCGTAAAACTATTGAGTGGCTTGCTTACAGAGCTTCCTTGCAGGATGAAATGTTTTATCTCCCTTTAGAACATCCTACTATTAATGAGCTTCCATGGGAAATGCACAGTTTTATCTCGGAGGAACTTGCTACACAATACTGAGCTATCAAGGCACATAAAAATGAGGATATCTGAAAGAAATAACTGACAGGTGTGACATGTTGTAAGAATCCATCTCTGACATTCTGTGAAAGTCAAAACCATACAAATGGAATAGATCATGGTAATTAGTTGGGTGAGGGGAGGATACATAAAATGCCAATACTATTCCATATGAAATTTTAATGATGTATGGATGTGAATGTGCATACATTTCTCAAAAATCCTTAGGATGTTACAGTACAAAGAATGAAGATATTTGAAGAAGTCAGGAGTTCAAATAATATATGGATAGAATAAAAAAATGATAAAAAAAAAGAAAGAAAAAAGTGCTTTTAACAGTATTAGAAATTTGTGAAACAACTTCATTTTAAGACAGTGGGGTTGCTGACCCAAGTAACTTTGGAAATAAATGTAGTAAGAACTATTTTAAAGTATTGTATATAGTTGGAAAATTTATTCCAAGCATAACTGATATGTACCCATTATATGTGTACATTGAACATAATTTAACAATTCTGAATTCACCATACATGTAAATTGGAATTCAACAATTAAGTAAATGGATATCAAATGGAGGAGTCAAAGTCCTCACATTGGTTATAGAAAAAGACCATGGCTCCTTGGGACTGTGGCTGACTTTAGGACCAGGATAGGCAGGAGTTAGACAAGAAGATCCTGGAGGATAGTACAGTGCCAGAAAATTTTAAAATTCTCAAGAAAATAACAAAAGAGTATAAGGTACCCCCCAAAATTATGGGTGTGTGTTAAAAAGCACAGATGCCAACTAAAAGAAATCCCAATAAGCAAAACTGGAGCAATTTGAAATAACAAAATAAAGTAGCAATTTTAAGTTAATTATCATGGGTCCATATTGATATATCCGAATACACAGACAAATGGAAGAAGACACAACTCATCCAGGAGAACTCCAACGTTTACGAAGACACTTGGTCCTCAAAGAGGTGGAGTATGACTACACTCCTACAATGTAAACCTCCTCTAACATCCCCAAAGGAAGAGTAACTTCCTAGTGGACAAACAAGGGAAACACTGCCTTAGCAAGGTGACAACCATTAGCATCCACAGGGGTAAATCATTCAATGGCATGTAGTTTTGATATGTTATAATAATACACTTTTATTTCTTTCAGCCCAAACACCATAAGTTCAGCTGATGCATTAGAAAAACACCAAACCCCATCTGAGAGTCATTCGACAAAATGCTGGATTAATACGCTTCCAAAGCGCACCTTTAATAGAGTCTTTCTCCTCCCTCAAGACTTCCCTACAGCCTCCAGAAGATTTATTCTTTATTGTATGACTGTTTTTCACGAACAATTGTTTTTTGAAGACAGAGTGCAGATCATTTTCTGTTCGTATTTCCAGTTTTGCGACAGTGACAGACGTTCAGTAGGCTCTGGAAACATACACACTTTGTAGACTTATTTATTGTGTTTTAATTAAGAAAAAGCTCGCCAAACCCAGGTAAGGCGTCCTTTAAACGCGCCCAGGTCAGGTCCGCCGCGCCTTTGGTCCACCCACCTAATTCCGGCTTAACCAATGGAAGATGGGCTAACCCCCGCCTACGTGAGACACGTGAGCCGTCCGGGCTCCTGGATCCGAATCGATGCGCTCAGAGGCAACTCTTCGGGCCTGGTCTCCACCAGCTACGCAGCCCGACGGTGGCTGCCGCCATTTTGACGGCGGGCGGAGCGGGGTCTGGGAGCGGAGGCTGTGCGGTGTCTGGTACGGATGCTTTTCACCACGATCGCCCCTGTTTCTTTCGGGCGTCCCCGGGCTCCAGCGCCGGGTTTTGCCCCTTCCCACCGCTGTCAGGGGTTCTTTGCCCTGCGCTATCCCTTCAGCTCCGCCTAGCCTTCCTTGGCGCTCCTGCCAAACCGCCCCGACCTGTTCTGTGCCAGTTCGGCGGGTTCCGGAGCGTCCACCGGGGCGGCTCCATCTGGTTCCGGGGGCCGAGGCCTGGCGTGGGGGAGGGACGCGGGACGCTGGACCTTGCCCGAGCCAGTGCCACAGATTGATCTGTCACTAGCCTGTTTTGTTTTGTTTTGCCTTTTCCCAGGAATACTTGACAAGGAAAGATTTTGCGTCTGTCTTCTCTAGAAATGGCCAATGTAAGTTACTGGCATAAGAATAAACTTGTTGGGGAACTTGTTAGGAAATGGAGGGACGAACTTAGGATGGCATTATATCATATTTACCTAATGTGTTAGAAATGTCGAAAAGCAAACTTTTTTATGTTTTGGAAGTAGGTTAAACACATTCTTTTAAATACAAGTACATTTATGTCTTCAGTTTAATTTTTATGGATTTGAAATTCAGTGCAGACATCCTTTAAGTGTTTCTAAAAGTCATTTCAGTAAATATTTAGAATCTGTTTTAAGCCCTTAAAAAAAATATAAACCCTCTTTGGTTAACTAAAGTTTTGTGGTATCAATATAGGAAATGACTGTCCAAATTCTACAAAATAAACTTGATTGTAAGTGCCTAGATATACACATTCTAAGAGAGTTCATATGGTAAGGGACATAAGACATAAATGAGGACTTAAATGTAGAGCACAACCATTTTCTGAGAGCTTGGGAAGGTTCAGTGCACATTGAGATGTTTGTGCAGAAGAGAAGGCAGAGTTTAGGATCACCACATGGGAAAAAATAACTGAAAGACTAGTGGAATTTAGTTCATCAGCAGTATGAGTTAGGAGGTCAGGGGTTGTAGCCAAAGAACTTCCTTCCTTGTGCCTTTCAATTATTAGGAAATCATTTCTGCCTGCCTAAACGTAAAATGTACAGAGGACATTTATGGTAGGTAAGGTTGGATGGGGAAGTGGGAACTGAATAATAGGGAGCTTTGAATGTCAAACTCAGCAAATGAAGCTTTATTCTTTAAATTGTGGAAATTTAATTAGATCCCTGTGGTAGGAAGATTAATGTGGCAACAGTAAAGTGGCATTCCTGTAATTGGTAAGTGTCTAAAGATATGACTGTAGTTAGAAATCTTAAGAATAGGCTGCCAGTATGAGCCAGGTTAAGGTGAATTCTTACCAAGTCATAAATTGCTCAGAAAGGGCATGTTGTGAAAGAAGCATGTGATACTCTCAGAGGAGGGAAGTTAATTCAAAGCAGAATAGAATGTTAATATTTAAGCTGACTTTATTTTGTTTTAAATGAATTCAATAGGATAAATATATATGAATATAAGTCTGACGCTTTATTAAATGTATATAGGCAGATGTATAAGCTAAAACTTGATTCTGGGTCTAGGAATATGCAGTCTCAACTATATTGTCCCTAGGAAACAAAGGAAAGGTCCTGCACCATGGGAGGAAGGGCTGACAAGAACTTTGCTGCTTGCTTGAAAGTGTCAGGCCGAGGGTGGTTAGGGCAGCAGTAGGCCCTGGGAAGCCTCCAGAGACGCTCTTGGGTGCCCAGCAGCTGGCCATCAGGATGACATGTGGCAGCAAAGAGGCAGGTTTGATCCTTTCACATGGCAGACAGCTTCCCAGACTGGCCGGTCCTTCACAGTAATCAGATCAAATTCAGTCTGTTTCGAGTTGACATCCAGGCGACTGGGGACTCGAAGTTTCAAAGGGCTCTGAGCTGGCCTCAGGAGCACTCGGCTCCCACAATTCACTGTTCTCAGACACCTCTGCATAAGTGTCACCCAGCCCTCTGTGAAATGCCACAGGCTCACTAGCACCAGGGCCCTGGTCCTCACTGCTTGTGCCTGCCATGGCCCGGGCCTCTTCACCCATTTTCTCAGCAAACCACTGCTTGACCTGCTGGGCGCTCATCTGGGTCTTGTCGCAGAGGCTCTGCAGGTCCCCCTCATACAGCATCTTGTGTGTCACATAATAATCTTGCAGTAGTTCTCGGTTGCCAGGGGCAATGACCAGCAGACCTGGTGGAAAGTTGCCCCTCTTATAATCTTCGTACCACTTGAGTTGGCCATTCTTCAGAGCATACCTGCTATCTCCAAACCAGCGTACCACCTCTGGCCGGGGAAGCCCTGTTTGGGCCATGATGGAGTCATAGTCCTGGGTGCTGGGCCACTGTGTCTGGACAAAGAGCTGCCGTAGCAAGTGGCGCTGCTGTGCTGTCTTTTTGTAGCTCGCTTTGCCCAGAGGCTGCTCCACCAGCTTATTCAACCCATCGTCCTCAGGCTCACACGCACCCAGTCCCAGAAGCTCACTTCTCCCACTATATATGATAGTATTCAAATGTACATAAGTTTTTTTGTGTGTATGTTTTAAATTCTGGACAGGTGTTAGTAATGAAATACACATATACATGTGTGTTTAAAAACTTAACGTACTGAGTTATAAGTGCCCATGGATTTGGCATCTAGATAAACTAGTCACTCTTCTGAACATACCTTTCATGATGTTGTCTTTTTTCCTGAAAGGCATAAACTTGTAATAAAATTTCACAGATAATATACTTATTAGAGATACACATCTGCTTTTCTATGAAACAGAAGAAATTGCATCAGTGAATTCAAGGTACCCAAATGGCATCTGTTAACAACAAATGACTAACTAATTGAAGACCTCTCCTTTTATTTGAGAAGAGCATATTTCAGTCTGCCTAGACTCTGAAATGTGGACATTTATGACTATGCTAACTTATTTCCAGTAAACTTAGAAATGTCAATTTTTTTAATGTAAATGGCCAGCTAGCAAATATTTTAATCTTTGTGGGCCATAAACTCTAATGAATGCTAATGTTAAGGTGTGAAAGCAGTTCTATATAATATATAAGTAAATAGGTGTGCCTGTGCTACAGTAAAACTTACTGCCCAAAGCAATTAAACTGTGTTGATAACTTCTGTATTAAGTTATTCTGACCCAGGTATTTTGCTAAAAGTTTATCCTTGGAGGTAGCTTCACATTCATCCATTTTAACTGAACTGAGAGTCTGGGAAATGATCATAAATTCAAAAAATGTACCACAAAGATATGCTAAAATCAAGAGAAGTGAATATTGACATCGAACATCAAACCAAGCACAGTTTTTACAGTAAAATAAGAAAATGACTAGACAAGAAACATGGTCCAAGGATAAGTTTTGGAACTTCTCTATTTTAGAATCTTAATAGTTATACTACTTTTTAAGTATTCATTAAATAAGGTAATTTTTGTAAATTCACACTTTGGCCTTTATTAGGAAAAATATACCTTTATCCCAAGTAATATATTATTTTAATTTTTATGTGATAACCTAAAGAGAATGGGAGAGAGTAACTTTTCAAAGAAAAGAGTTTATTAAAAGAATTTATATAGAAAAGAACTATTGCAGGAATCATGAAAGAATATGGAGTGCCATAAGCAGTCCAGGCAAAGGAAGCCAAGGGTCAAACGTTTTTAAATGTAAAATATGGAAGGTTACATAAGTTATTGAAGTGTCCTTGTCCAGAAGGGTCAGTAGCAGGTAGCATCAGCACAATATAAGTTGAGCAGGTAGTTACTAGTTAGGCAGTAGCAAAGAAGTGTTTCAGTGTTCTTGTTTTGTTTGTGCAAAATTACAGTGGCCTTTGTGCAAGGTTATGGTTTGTGTAGAGACTTATGTGACCTGAAGACCTCCCTGCTCTTCAGTATGACCTCCTTGTTGGGGTTTGACATAAGTGGCTCAAGTGGTTCCACTTTGATTCTGACATCTGTCACAATGTTGTTTTGTTTTGTTTTGTTTTTTTAACTGAAAGTACATGTAATGCTTATGTAGTAGGTATCTGATAGGAGGTGAAGTAGTATGTGTTAGTTTTTAAAGATACAGTACAATGGGCTAGAGAGATGAATCGGCTTCCTGTAGAAACATGAGCATCTGAATTTGGGTCTCAGCACCCATATAAAAAGCCAGCCATAGTTGCACATACTTGAGGCCAGGCCCCAACACTGTGTGGGGAGGGGCAGAGACAGGAAGATCACTGGGGTTGATGACTACCAGCTTAGATCGAGGCTTAGTGAGAGACTCAAATAAGGCAGAGGGTGATGGAGCAGAACGTCCAACATCCTCTTCCAGCCTTCAGGAGCATGAGTAGGCACACACCTGTACAAACGTGCACAAAGGCCATATAGTGTGCATGCACACACAAAGATAAAGCACAGTGTAAAGATTTGTCAGAATTTATTATTTATATCCAGAATAAATATTTAATTTTTCTGTTATTCTTAGGTGCTCTGTTACAGAGCCAGACTGGTTTCCTACCTCCCAGGATTTTGCTCTTTAGTTAAAAGAGTTATCAGTCCAAAAGCCTTTTCAACTGCAGGATCTTCAGGTTCTGATGAGTCTCATGTAGCTGCTGCACCTCCAGATATATGTAAGTGAAAGATTTATTGCTTTATTGTGCTTGCTTCTAAACATTTCAAGTCCTGTTTTCTCTAATATTTCTTAAGAGTTTTATAGATTAAAAAAAAAAAACAAAAAAAACGTGTTTGTCTCATTGAAAATAAAACGAAACTCTGCCTAGATGTATCCAAAAGTTACAATGTTAAAAAAGTAAATAGGACCTCTCCAGGCTTGGGCCTAAGTCATGGCAACATGGCTAAATGCACCAAGGTCGGGATCATGAGTAAATACAGGAGCTGCTATGGTGTCTCCCTTTGGAAAATGGTGAAGAAAATTGAAATCAGCCAGCACACCAAGTATGCTTGTTCTTTCTGTGGCAAGACCAAGATGAAGAGACAGACTGTTGACATATGGCACTGTGGTTTGTGCATGAAAACAATGGCTAGTGGGGTCTGGACCTACAACACCACCTCTGCTGTCACAATCAAGTCTGCCATCAGAGACTGAAGGAACTGAAAGACCAGTACAATCACTGCCTTTTGGAACATCCCCAGCCTACAATGAATGGGTTAATTTATGTAACAAAAAATAAAATAGGGGCTGCCGAGATGGCTCAGCAATTCAGAGCATGTACTGTTGCAGAGGATATGAGTTTGAGTCCCAGCACCCATGTCGGGCAGGTCACAACTGCCTGAAATGCCAGCTGCAAGGGATCCAATGCTGCCTTCCAGCCTTTTCTCTACAGGCACCTGCACTCATGTGCACAGACATTATACATAATTTTAAAATAAATCATTTAATATAAAATAAAAACTAATGCTTCTTGACTTACATCACTATATTTAGTAAATACATTGTAAATTAAAGATATACATTGAAAATACGCCTAATCTCCCAAACATCATAGTTTAGCCCCACAGTATATACTCTTGCTTATTTCCAGTTATCACATGGCTAGGAACTAAACTTCACTGACTGATTACAGGACAGATTATTGTGTAGTCTGTTGTGACCTGGAGAAAATATCAAAATTCAAAATTCAGTGCATGTTGTTTTCATTTTGTCATAAAGCCCCAAATCCTAAATTGAGCTATTGTAAATCTAATACCATCTGCATTTGGTTCCAAACTTAATATATTTTTAAAGATTTTATTTCTAATTATATGTATATGTGTGCATATCTGCATGTGCGCACAGGTACCCACAGAGGCCAGAAGTGGGGTCAGATACTCTGGAGCTGAAGTTTCAGTGCTTGTGAGCCATCCTATATAAGTGCTAGGAACCAAAGTCAAGTCCTCCACAAGAGCAGTAGGTGCTCTTAACCACTGAGCCATCTCTCCAGCCTCTCCTTGCTAAATTATTTAATGTAAATAATATTTTGTATATATTTTACGTATTCGTTGAATAACTTGCCTGGTATCTACAAAGTCTATTTTAACCCATTGTGTGTGTCACTATTACATTAATCATTCTAAAATATTTTAATTATGTCACTTCGTAAGTATTATCTCTTATTACTCTCAGCAGCAGTATCCAAGTTAGTCATTATTAAAGACTATTTAAAGGGTAGGGGCTATAGTTAGAAAGGTTTGAAAGGTGCTAAATATCATATTCCTGTTTTGAAAGCCTATAACGTATGCCAGAATACTAAAGGCTTTCAAAAGTTTAACATGATGTGTCCCAAAGGTATTGTATGTGGAATCCTTGTTCCTTGAAAAACATAACTGCAGCTTAAGTTTACTAGGGCATTTAAACCCCTACAGTTTCCTTGTTTGTTTGTTTGACAGCTCCCCAGTTTATATCACCTGAAGACAAACCATGAATGACACATGTTGTTCCTCTTCAGGCTCTCGAACAGTGTGGCCTGATGAAACTATGGGACCATTTGGACCTCAGGATCAGAGATTCCAGCTACCCGGGAACATAGGTTTTGATTGTCATCTCAATGGGACTGCTTCACAGAAGAAAAGCCAGATTCATAAGACTTTGCCTGATGTTCTAGCAGAACCTCTCTCAACTGAAAGACATGAGTTTGTGATGGCACAATATGTGAATGAATTTCAGGTTAGTTAATACTGTTTTTTTTATTAATGCAATAGTAACTTTTGATTACTGAGTGTATTTTATTGAAAAAGTTTTTAAAAGTCAGTATATACAGCAGCATCATAGCTATCTTTTTTAAAAACTTGGCACTGTCCAAATTTTATGATGTTTGCAGTATCATTTTTTTATGTTTAAATTATAATCTCTCAGTTAAATAGCTCTTCAAATTTATGCTTTTAGTAACTATTCCCAATATGATAATTGACTTTTTTTCTGTATTGCTGGAAACTAAGGTTTCTATTTTTTCACTTTTAAAAATGACAGTTATGGATCAGACATGGTGACACATGCTAATACTCCCAACACTTAAGAAATGAAGGGAGGAGACCATGACCTGGGTTCAATGTCAAGCTGCTCTGCATAGTGAGTTGCAGGCCATCTAGAGCAACTATATTTTGTAAATGGACTTAGTTCCAGCCAATTTTGAATTCTTTAAGCATTTAAAAGCTTAAGAAAATTTTGAAGTCTCTGAAATTGTGTAGATAAGTCAACCAAAAGGAACACATTATAAATGTTTGACTTTAGGGGAAAACGAGAAATCAGTTTCTAAGGATTTGGAGGAGTTTTTGTAATGTGTGTGTGCACATTTATGTGCATGTATATATGTATACAGGTATACGCAGGTATGCTTGCCCCTGCTGGTGTGTATGGAGGCCAGAGGCTGACGTAACGGGGTGTCTTTCTTGACTGTTTCTGCACCTTATTTTTTGAGATAGGGGGTCTCACAAATTTGAAACTTCCTGTTTAAGCTAGCCAGCAAGCCTCGCAATACTGGGATACAAATGTGCACAGCCACGCCTACATTTTTATGTAGGTGCTGCGGATCTAAACTCGGTCCTCATGCTTGGATAGCAAGTACTCTACCTATGGAACCACCACCCCAGCTTCATGCTTTTAATATTTTTTAAATATTATTTATTATTTTTATTTTATGTGTATGAGTGTATTGCCTGCATGTATGTGAGTGCACCCGTGTCATGCAGTGGCGCAGAGGTCAGAAGAGGGCTTCGGATTACCCTGAAACTGGAGTTAAGGATGGTTCGTAGCCATCCCATAGGTGCTGGGAATCGAACCTGGGTCCCTGCAAGAGCAGTCAGCGCTCTTAACTGCTGAGCCATCTCTCCAGCCCTGCTTTTAATATTTTTTAAACTGGTGGTATACCACTATTCATTCAAGGGGAATGCTACATGTATCTCAGAGTTTTGTTTACTAAAGTTTGTTGTTTTTTACATTCTACAGAGTTTCAATAGAGGGCATTTTGTTGTTTAATTAAAGCCATATTGTTAGGAGCACCAATCTCTCACAGTTACATCAGGTGACCTGACATTGGGACACAACTGAATTCCCCTATGTTTTTATCTCAGATAATGCTGCTCAGTCTTCTCAGTTCTTTGTCCTTCCTCTCCCTACCAAATACTTGATATTTCCCACAGATTCGGGGCTTAATCTTCTTAGTTAAATTGCTCTTTGGTCCCTTCGTTCCTTAGCTTTTCCAGCAAGCTGCAGTTTTATAATTCCAAACTCAGTATTTCTGCTTCTGACATTTGCAGTTCAATACTTGTGTTTACTAACTGAATGCCTTTATTTGGATGTCTTGACGAGCCTCCATAGCTCGTGTTTAATATTGAAGTAGTCCTTTTGTTCCCCTCAAGCTTTTCCTTATTCCTGTATACCCAATAGTATAAATAGTATGCCTGTCTTTGCTCTGTCCTGAAGTAAGAATTCTGATAGCATCCTTTCCTGCTTCTCTATCATGTCCCCACAAGGACTGTCAGAATCACATTGCTCCATTCTGTGAATTTGTTACTAAGATACTGTTGTCCTTTCAGTTTTCTGGCAGACTTCAATGCCTCTTCATTTTACTTGAATGTTTAGAGACATTAGAACAGAATGGATTGTACAAAGAGAATTCAGATGAGGAGTGTACCTTGTGACTTGGAGAAAGTCACTAGGCCTTTTTATGAAAAATGAAGATAATAAGAATGGCCATTGCATGCCTTTGTATTCTTACTACCTTTGCTGGACCAGTTTCTCCTGGATTCATCACCTGCATTCTACCGATCAAACACCTGCATTAAGTAATACCATGTCAACATTTTCCTGATTCCTGTGGTAGCATGCCTTCAATCCCAGCACTCGGGAGGCAGAGGCAGGTCAATCTCTGTGAGTTCAAGGCCAGCCTGGTCTACATAGTGAGTTCCAGGACAGCTGGGGCTACAGGGAGACCTTGTCTCAAAAAGACCAAAATGCCATGCACGTGTGTATGTATACACACAAAGACACACAACACACAAAAATAAGTGTTTAAAAAATTAGTAGGATTAGCCAGGTGTTGGTGGCACACACCTTTAATCCCAGCATTTAGGAGGCAGAGGCAGGCAGATCTCTGTGAGTTGGAGGCCAGCCTGGTCTCCATTAGTGAATCTTCAGGACAGGGGGCTACAGGGAGACCTTGTTTCAAAAAGACCAAAAAAAAAAAAAAAGTTTTTCTTCTGCTATGTCTAACACTGAATTTTTCTGGGTTTTGTTGTTGTTGTTTTTAATACTGCTTTCTCCTCTTAAAGGGCCAATATATTGTAGGCTTCAACTAAATTTCAGTTGGATAACAGTCTCTAAGCACTCTCCTGTGATGCTGAATTATTTGACTGTGTTACTTTTTTTTAAATAAATGTCATCCCAGTTTTACAGATTATCATAAAAATAATTCCATATCACTTGAATATCAGAAAAGATAATGGCATTTTAGTCAGTTTCTTAGCTGACTTCTGTTCATATCAAATCCCAGAATTTCAGCCTACTTATATATTCACCTTGTTTTATTCAGTATTTCTTTAGAACTTTGAGATCTTATACAAATCTTAGGAAAAGCATTACCTCACTCTCCATTAGAATTTAAAAATTTTTCTAGCATGATAGATTCTTAACAAGTTTATCATTTTACATGAACTCTAGTGTGTTTGCTTCCATTCTTGTTCTCCACAGGGTAATGATACACCTGTTGAGCAAGAAATCAACAGTGCAGAAACTTACTTTGAAAGTGCCAGAGTTGAGTGTGCAATCCAAACATGTCCAGAGCTGCTGCGAAGAGGTATGTCATCTACACTGAAACATGAAATGTTTATGACATATTATCAGTGTCTTAAGTGTTGATTAATGTTCTCTATAGCAGTTGTAAGGCTTTATATGTTAATATGTAATATATCTGATTGGAGATGATTGCTTCTATAAGATAAAGGCCTTCCAGTGTCCTCTGACATCAGTTAGATAGGAATGGAATTTATAGAACTTTTTTCCCCAGGCCTTCGCTTTTATACTCTTGTATGATTATTATAGCCATAATTTCATGAACTTATAAAGTGCAAAGGAAATCGTCAAGATAAATGTATTTGAAAATTATATTAGCACCAAAGCCATGAGCATTGCTTACCTGTCATGATCGTCAGCATTGCTCTTTCAGCTCAGCAACAAACTAAACATGAGCAAAGCTACATTCATTTTGCTCTTTTCAAAAATAATGTTTGTAAAAATGGCTTAGTATCACAGCAATTTAACTTAGTCTTCATTTCGCTAAAGTTATTTTTATGAACTGCATCTCTTTTTGTAAAAGCTAATGATTTTCTTTTTAGATTTTGAGTCACTTTTTCCAGACATGGCTAATAGCAAACTGCTGGTTCTAACTGTGACACAGAGAACTGAGAATGACATGACTGTTTGGAGTGAGGAGGTGGAGCTTGAAAGAGAAGCACTCCTAGAAAAGGTAGCTTGTTAGGCTTCCTACTAACCCAGGACTGTCGTATTTGAATATCACTACATTAGTGTTTTAATGTCTTTTCTACTGTGTGTTTATTCTGTGAGGTATTTCGATATTTAAATTACATCATTTTTTATGACTGAGAATGCCACTTTTTTAATGCTCCTGAAAAACTTAGTGCCATTTGTCTCTCTCCTGAATTTTTCTAAAATACATTAGTCCCCAACTCTGCCCCTCTTGCATCTCTTCCCTACTTTATATCATATCAGTAAATAGTGATTAAACAACCCAGCCATCTCCAAGGAGTAAGTACCGACTCTGAAGAGTATGCCAGTGGAACAATACCAGACACACCTTTTTTCTGTCCTTTGCTTTTAAGGTGAAGATAGATTTTTGACACCTCTCCATAACATTATACATAATATATTTTATTTCTTGTAAAATTTACAGTGTGTTTCATTGTATAGATAAGCTAAAAATTTAAAGTAATTTTAAAATGTCTTTCGTGATTCATAATTGAAAATGCAACTTTGTTCTTGCTGGCAGCACATCTGTGAAAATCATTGTTACATGTATTTTCATGCATACCAATCTCTGTAGACTCCTAAATAAAGAGTGGCTGAATTACTGCCATTTTAAATTTTAATAAATGCTAGCAATTTGTATCTTTATCTATAGGCTGTGATCCTAGCTTATCCTATACCTGACCATTCCTCCTAGCAACTTGATAAAAATGTTCAGATGTGCTTATAATTATGCCATATATCATTTTTATTAA